CTCTCTCTCTCTCACACACACACACACACACACACACACACACACACACACACCACACAACACACACACACACACACACAACACACACAGACATGGCTCTCCTCATAAGTTCTTAAAATTTCAGTAGTTATATGCCATGGCTGCTTCTCCCTCGTTTTGCAGGAACTGCACACAGTTAGTGATGGCAGGTACACAGAGTATGCAGCCAAGAACAGGTCAGACCAACAATCTGGGGGTTTCTGGCATGCACATTGATGGGCCACACCTCTGCGCTGATCACACACCTCCCGAGGAGCAGCTACCTTCCTCTCCCGAACAGAAGGCATGGTCATTATAGTTGAATTTAGGGGAACTTCTAGCGAGATACAGGTATAATAACCATGCCTTGTATTTGAGGGAACAGCGTAAGCACTGTGACTCTGTGAGTGACGTACACTAGCCTTGATCACTAGAAAAAAAGGTATAATGGCCATGCCTTGTGTTCAAGGGAAAAATACAGCATTATGACCTACGTAGCACCGTGCTCACATTCGGAGGCGAACGCGAACATGTTCGCCCGAACGCGAACAAGCGCCCAAAACCCTTCGAACGCAAACATAAAAAATATTAAAAAAAAAAAAAAAACCTTCTCAGAAAAATCTGGAAAAAGTATATGTTATGTAAAATAAGAATACAAGCAACTTTCGCCTTGGAGTCATGTTCAAATTCGTAGCCAATCATGAGTTAAAAATCAAAAACCGATTTTATTTTTTTTTACGAAAAAAAAAAATGTTCGCCCGAACATGTTCGCGAGCTGTTCGGGCGAACGCGCGAACTAGTTCGCGCGAACGTGCGAACACGTTCGCCGTGCTACGCAGAATTTGTGACTCTGTGAGTGACATACACGACCGTCTTCCCCCGAACATAACGCACATGCGTTGTATTCGAGTTTTAGAAAAAAAACGCACAAACTCAAATAGAACGCATAAGAGTCGTATTCGGAAATCAGAGCTGTTCAAATACAATGCATATGTGTTGTATTCGAATAGAAAGCAATCTATTGGTTGTATCCGTTTACAACACATATACGTTGTATTCGAGTTTTCAAAAAAAAATCGAACAAACTGCATATGAGTTGTATTTTTTTCAGAAACACGGGCTGTTCGAATAGAACGCCTATGCATTGTATTCAAATAGAACGCAATCTAATGTGTTGTATTCGTTTCCAATGCATGTGTTATGTTCAGGGGAATATGGTAGCATGTATTACTAACAACGTTCCCCAAAGCTAGCCAAAAACACAGGGGAGCCCTGGCTACCGTCTTCACCCGAATAGAACGCCCCGTCATTATAGCTGCATTTGGCCCAACTTTCAGTCCAGATGCAGCGATAATGACCGGGGGTTCTATTCGGGTGAAGACGGTAGTTGGCTCCAGGTGAGGACTGGTACCACTCAGCCATCAGATGAGCCCTGGCTAGTTGGATAACGCTGGTGCCGGCAGATCCACCTGATGGCAAAATCGTACCACATTACCAAACAGGTACCCCTGGTTAACCAGCAAAGTCACCGCCTAACCCAGTTTAACAAGCCAAGTCCCAGTCAACCACCGAAGTCCCTGGTTAACCCCATTTAACCAACAAGGTCCCATTTTAACCAACAGAGTAGTGCCCAGTCAACCAAGGTTAACCAACCAACTACCAGGTTAACCCCTTTTTTGAAGTGTTCCCAAAAAGGGGCAGGTACTTCCACTAAAAGGCTGGCAAACCGGTCCCGTGTCCCTCTCCGCACGTCATTACTTACGCAACGCTTCTCTCTTCCTTTGGTATGACCGAGAGACCCCAAGACAGTGACGTTGATTACTTCATTGCTACGGAGGATTCACCACCGCTCCATTGCTGCTTGGCCTGTGTTATAGTTACCTCCTACCGTCGCTTCCCCCGAACGCAACGCACCCTCAGCTTGGCTGAACCAGACCGGAAAGATAGCTTGAAAAACATTCATTATCCTTATCAGGGTATGTTATGTTCGGCGGAAGACGGTCGTGGGTTGATTCAACT